CTTGCAGGCACACAGCCCCAAGTGGTCTGCCAAGAGTGATCCCTGAGCACAGAGCCAGGAATGAGCCCTGGGCACTGCCGGTGTGACCCCAAAACACAAAAACACAAAGAAAATGCTTTTCACCTGTTACATCTACAATCATATTAACATTACGTGTATACAGTAAATACATCTTTCATTAAGTCTACTAATGAAACTCAGAATTGAATTGTGAATAATAACATTAAAATGTTAAGACTTGGGGAAGGAGGGGCTGGAGCAATAGCACAGCAGGTAGGACGTTTGCCTTGCACGCAGTTGACCCGGGTTCAATTCCCAGCATCCCATATGGTCCCCCCACCGCCCCCAAGCACCGCCTGGAGTAATTTCTGAGTGCGAGAGCCTGGAATAACCTCTGTGCATCTCTGGGTGTGACCCAAAAAGAAAAAGGAAAAGAAAAAGAAAAAAAAAAGACTCAGGAAGGAGCAACAATACAGCAGCAGGGTGCTTGCCTTAGCTGCAGCTGACCTGGGGAACCCTGAAATCCCTTATGGTTCCCCGAGCCCCCTAGGAGAGATCCCTGAGTGCAGAGTCAGGAGCAAGCACTAAGAAGCACCTGGTGTGGCCCCCTCCCCAAAAGAAGCAAAAATCCAACAAAAATCTGTGAGATAGATGCTATCTAAAGCACAGAATCAGAAAGGAATTAAGAAGAGAAAAAAAATAGTGCAATAAAAGGTCTGCTTTTCTCACTTAGAAAACAAAAGAGATAACTGAGAGTTGTTTATCTTTGCATAGAAAAATATTCCTTGAGTTGAAAGTAGTTAAAAGACAATTGTGAAACATTTTCTTGTTTATCTTTTATTAGTCTATTCTGCACTAAAAACCAGCTGAACAAATCATGATCCTTCATAACAAATGTTAAGTATTAACAAAATCCCTTAAGAATTTTGTATCCTTTCTTCTTTAAAGAGACATTAATCAAAAAATTAAAAATTAAAAAAAATTAACTAAGGCTGTTGTTACCTGCTTCTTCTTAAGAACATCTTGAACATCATGAGATTTAGACCCTGAACAAAGCTTTGAAGATGTCTTTAAGTTTGAAGAGCTGTAAACCATTTTTGGATGGCTTGGAGTTGAAAATATCTATAAAACACACAGAAGAGTAAGTTAAATCTGGGAAATATTTTCACAACACTTTTCAGAAAGACTGCTTTTTGAAAAACCCATTTATGGGGGCTGGGGTGGTCGCCTGTGGACAAGCAGGACATGGGAGCTCCATGGCACTTCCTCGCTTTCTGTCACAATATCCTAGGTCTCCAGAAAACTGCCAGGCCCAGGAGACACTAATTCTTTACGTAGTCCTGGTTCCTTTGGGCGTTGGGGCCCTCATTACTATCGGGCAGGTCATTATTTCTAGATCAGTAAACAGAATTAGGGAAAGGTTTAGAGTATTTTGGTTGCTTATCTAAATTTCAGTATCAAATACAATCTGACACCAACTCTAGCTCAGTCCTGGTACCATGCCATGCCCGAAGAACAGAACCAGGAGTAGTACCCCTCAGCTCACTGGGTGTGGCTCCCAAACCATCCAAACTTTTAAAAATAAAATCTGAGGGCTGGAGTGATAGCAGAGCGGGTAGGGCGTTTGCCTTGCATGCGGTCAACCCTGGTTCTATTCCCAGCATCCCATATGGTCCCCTAAGCACTGCCAGGAGTAATTCCTGAGTGCAGAGCCAGGAGTAACCCCTGTTGCATAGACAGTTGTGATGAAATGAAAAAAAAAAAAACAAGAAAAATCTGAGGGCTGGAGAGATAGCTCAGTGGGCTAAGTGCATGCTTCGCATACAGGAACAACCCCTGGCACAGCAATTATCCTGAGCACCACCAGGTGTGGCCCAAAAGAGAAAAACAAAATATCCAATTTTAACTCAACCAGAACTAAAACTTTGTGTGTGTGTGTGTGTGTGTGTGTGTGTTTGGGGTTCTGCTCAGGACTTACTCCTGGTTCTGCGATCAGGAATCATTCCTGGTGATGCTGGGGATCAAATGAATCCGGGTCGGGGCTGGATCGATAGCACAGCAGGTAGGGCGTTTGCCTTACATGCGGCCGACCCAGGTTCAATTCACAGCATCCCACATGGTCCCTCGAGCACCTCCAGGAGTAAATCCTGAGTGAAGAGTCAGGAGTAACCCCTGTGCATTGCCAGTGTGACCAAAAAGCAAAACAAAAACAAAAACAAAAGAACCAGGGTTGTCTCCACCTCACAGAGGACTAAATGTTTTTACTGAAACTCAAGTATCATTCCTCTCATGGAGGCTGTGCCATTTAGCATCTCCACCAATATCCTTTGGAACTTAGTCTAGTTTCATAATGTAACTTTAAAAAAAAAGTCAAATTTTATCTTTTTTATATTGAGAGTTCTAATTATCCACACCAATACCATATCAAAATTCATGTTTTCTTTATAAGAGGTTTTGCAAGTATTACTATATGCAATGAGTCTACTCCTCAATCTACTGGTCTGTATTTTGATGTACAGATTTCAAACTTTTCTAGGTGCAGTGGCTTTATGACAGGATTTTTTTAATAGTTAATAGAGCTAGATCCCTTGTTCTTTTACAATTTTCCTGGCTTTCTAAAATAATTACATTCCCCAAAGGAAAAACAACTATTAAGACAGCAGTTTTCCATTGCAGGTTGGTGGACTGGTATAAACAGGCTGAAAACCTTGGCCTGACTCAGTTTAGGGCAGCAGTCCTCGGATGCCAGCCTGCAGGTGTGAAAAGACTGAAAATCACCACCTTAAGAGGTATTTCAAAATTTCACTATTTCAAAGTTTGAAACTCAATGTTTCAAAATTTCACTATGTTCTCAATTAAAGAGAAAATCTGATCAAAGAAATAAACTAACAAAGACAACTGCCTGTTGATAGCTAAAATTCTTGCTTAATTCCGACTAGAACAAAAATTCTGGCCAATTTCTAAATGTATGCCGCTGGGGTCAGTATGAGTGTGCTGTTACATTATTTCCTGACTGAGGATGCAGTGTGCTAGAAGTCTAGATGACCATCCTCATGTCTCGACTGGGAACGTCTCTAAGGGTCAGGGAGTACCTGGCAATCTTCCGCAGCACCCCCCGCCTGATTCAGGAAGTGGGCTGAGTCACTCTGGTTGCTACTCGCGTGGCCTAGACGATGTTTGACAGGAACTTTGTTAAGAACGTAGGCGCCCGACGCCTGTGGTTTGTTCATCATCTGCAAACATAATAAACACAAACACGAGAAACGTTTACAAATCCTGCAGGAGGATTTTTACAATAGAGGCTCCCTGGGGAAAGGTAGGGGATCACTTTGTTTCGTACCAAGCAGGTACACAGGAGCTACTCTGGGCTTGGCGGTGCCGGAGGGACCATGTGGCGCCAGGGATCAAACCCAGACTTCCTGGTACAGAGCATGCACTCAACTCCTCTGAGTTCTCTCTATAGCCCTAGACTGTAGGAAAAATTTTTTTTGACTTTCAGGCCACACTCTGAAAGCTGTGCTCAGGGGTTGTTTCTGGCTGAGCTAGGGGTTACCACTCGGTACCAGGAATAAACCTAGGTCTCCTGTGTATACACTTTAGCTCATTGAGCTAATCAATCCATCTGGCTCTAGATACTGGTTTCACCTTGGGTTTTGTGGTTTTTTTTTGGGGGGGGGGAGTGGCAGATAATAGAGATAATGGTTATGTCATTGTTTTTATTTTATTAGTCTGAAATGTCACAATAGGAAGGATACAAATCTGTATATCCTATTTTAAAAAATACATTTTTTATGTTGCCAGCCTATGGACACAATGTTCTGAAAAACTGGAGGTTTTTGACAACAGCTTAATACAAGTCAGTTGTTGGGCCGAAGTGACAGCACAGTGGGCAGGGTGCTTGCCTGGCAAGCAGCCAATCCTGGTTGGACCCAGGCACCACACAGGCTCCCCCAAGCCAGCAGTAAGCCCGAGGACTGCTGCTGGGTGTGACACCACTAAAGAGTATATTGTAGTATGGCTAGTTTTAAAATGTGACGCAGGGGTTGGAGCGATAGTACAGTGGGTAGGGTGCCTGCCTTGCACAAGGCCGATTCCCAGCAACCAGTATGTCCCTAAGCACCACCAGAGTGATTCCTGAGTGCAAAGCCAGGAGTAACCCCTGTGTATCACCGGGTGTGACCCCAAAAGCCCCCCCCCCCAAAAAAAAATCCCCAATCCAAGGAAGCAATCTGGGATAGGGTCAATGGGCAGGGTCTAAGGCTCCAGGCATCACGGGGATGCAGATCCGGAGGTCAGACAGTGACGATGCAGGGGGTGACCAACTGGGAAACCCCGACCTAGAGGGCTGGAAGCTGAGCTCTGCGGCTGCCTCTTTACCTTCTGGATCCCTCCGTGTCCCGCTGATGGAGGAGACTGGGCCACCAGCATCTGCTGCTGCTGCAGGTGCTGCGGCAGGTGGTGGTGCTGCGGGGCCAGGTGCCCGAGTGTCTGCTGCTGTTGCAGGAGCAGCTGTGTGGATGGCTGCAGCGCTGGCTGCTCATTGTTCTCCCGGTGCCACAGCACCCGGATGAACCTGTTGTTCAGAACCGCCTCCGTGCTGGAAATGGCCTTCCGAGCCTCCTCGTTGGTGAGGTACTGGATGAGGGCTGCCTCTGGGTCTCCCTTAAAAGCGACCTGGAAGGAAAGACAAAAGCAACACAAAAACGCAGAAATTTAATGTTAAATAACTAATACGCTATTTAATTTTTTTTTAAATTTTTATTAGTGAAACACCAGGGGGTACAGTTGTAGACTTACAAATTTTTGTGCCTGGGTTTCAGTTAGACAATGATCAAGTACCCATCCCTCCACCAGTGCCCATTTTCCACCACCACGGATCCCAGTATCCCTCCTACCCCGCATCCCCCCGTCCCACCCTGCCTCTGTGGCAGGGTATTCCTTTTTGTTCTCTTTCTCCTTTGGAGTGCTGTGGTTTGCAAAAGAGGCATTGAGTGGCAATCATGTCCGGTCTATAGTCTATTCTCAGCACACACACGTATGAAAACTTGCTGAAATGTTTAATAAATAAAATTTGCCATCTCTGAAATAATGATATGCATATTCTAAAGTTATAAAGAAGGCAGCTTATTTCTGGGAGGCCCTTCCAAGTAATGCTCTCTCAGGAGGCCCTGAGCCGCTCCCAACAATCCTCAGCCAGTGGACCTTTGGGTCCAACATCATGCCCCTCGGGCCAGCAGTGCCAGGAGCCACCAGGGCACACCTGGTGATGCCCAAGAGCAGTTAGGGTCTCACTCAGTGATGATGGGAGGGCTGGGCAATGCCAGGGATGGAACCTGGGGCCCAGATACGCAGGGCATATGGTCAAACTCAGCTACTGCCCAAACCCAGAAGGGTACCTCTTTAAAAAATTAATGTTACCTTATCACTAGGGTAAATACCGAAAGATCCTCTCTGGTTATATTTAAATAGACAAAAAAGAACTTTGAGGGGGGGGGGCGACCCTGGCGCTGGGGCTGTGGTGGTGCGCGGGGCGGAGTTGACGAGAAACTCCTAAATTTCCTCTGGGAGTGAAACAGAATTTCTTAAGAACATAATGGAGAAGAGAAAACCTATGTTGGCTGTGAAGGCCCTGATGCTACGTATGTCAAATTAATATCCTCTGATGGCCATGAGTTTATTGTAAAAAGAGAACATGTGTTAACATCAGAATCAATAAAAGCCATGTTGAGTGGCCCAGGTCAGTTTGCTGAAAACGAAACCAATGAAGTCAATTTTAGAGAGATCCCTTCACATGTATGCATGTATTTCACCTACAAGGTTCGTTACACTAACAGCTCGACTGAGATTCCTGAATTCCCAATTGCACCTGAAATTGCACTGGAACTGCTGATGGCTGCGAATTTCCTAGATTGTTAAATAAATTATAACAAACTGTTAACTTTTTTCAGTATTTAATACCTGTAGTTCAGTTAGTAACTTTTCATATATAGCCTGTGGCCTGTGTGCAACTGAACTTTTAATGTTCATGGCCAAGCAGATTATCTTCTGTTCTTTTGCATAGCAATCAGAGCTGACATTCATTTGCTACATCAGTAAATTAAGAACATTTTCAAAAACTGAGAAATAAACTAATACGCCAATTCATAGGTGGTTTTGCCTTATATTTTGGATGTGATTATTTTTTTTTAATTAATGGTGGTACAGTAAATGCTAAAATTTAGGCATAAATGTACATGTTCTACAAGTAAATAATTGGCTCTGTATTTTTATGTTTTGTTTTTTTAAATGATCCTGATCTTCTAGACATCGTTAGTAGCATTATTCGTTATGCAAATGTTGCATTATAAACATGTTTATAACTTAGCCAAGACTTCAATGTTTTTATAAGTGTCAAAGACATGAGTTGAAATTTCTTATCTGTCTTTTGTTAAACTGCAGTATTGTTTTTTTTTTTAAAAAAAAAGAACTTTTGTTTTGTTTTGGTTTTGGACCATACCCGGCAGCGCTCAGTTAGGCCTCTGCGCTTAGGAATCACTCCCAGTGGACTTGGGAACCGTATGGGATGCTGGGGATCAAACCCAGGTCAACTGGGTACAAAGCAGGCGTCCTACCTGCTGTACTCTCTCCAACGCCAAAAACACCATTTGATAACAGCAAATAAAAAACAATCTATTTTTGGGTCAGAGAGATATCTGCATAACAGGTAAGATGCTTGCCTTGCACGCAGCCAACCTGGGTTCAATCCCTGGCATGCCATACGGTTTCGCGAGCACCGCCAAGAGTAATTCCTGGAGTAATTTTTGCTATTTATTTAGATATGGATTTTTTTTCTCTGGAGGAGGTGGGGTTTGGTCATAACAATCAAGTGCTCAGGGCTGCCCCCACAAATGTTAATTTTTATTTTTAACAGAACGAAAAATAATTTTAAGGCTAGAGAAACAGGACAGTGGTTGAAGTGCTTGTCTTGCATGCAGTCAACCTAGGTGAGTCCCCAGCACCACCAGGAATGATGGAGAAAGATATTGCACAGGTAAGGCACTTGCTTTATATGTGCCACTCAACATTTGGTCCTCCGCATGGTCCCCTGCCCACCAGGAGGAGCAGTAAGCCCTGAACATCAAAGGGCACGGTCCAAACACAAAAAAGAGATGAGACAGGGGTACTTTGAGAGCCTCCATCCTCATCCAGAAACAAACGACCATCATCTTGGTCTGCAAGGTCTCCCCAAGGTCATTATTGTTGCTGTTATTTTGTCCTTTTGGGGCCCCTCGGCCATGCTCAGGGATGACTCCTGACTCTGCACTTGGGAATCACTCCTGGGAACCATACTGGATGGGGGCAGGGGAGATCAAGCCCGGTTGGCTGCAAACAAGGCAAGCATTACTCACTGTACTATCTCTCCAGACTCTATTTCTTTATTTTTGTTTAAACCAGCCAATCCTATGGTACTTTTTAAATAACAAACTGAACATACCCTTTTTTTAGAACTCATCTAAAGTTTTCAAAATACCTTAAAGAATACCCTAAGAAGCGGAAGCGATAGCTCAGCAGGTAGGGTGTTTGCCTTGCACACAGCCAACCCAAGTTCGATTCCCAGCATCCCACATGGTCCCCTGAGCACCGCCAGGAGTAATTCCTGAGTGCAGAGTGAGGAGTAACCTCTGTGCATTGCCAGGTGTAACCCAAAAAGCCAAAAAAAAAATAAAATAAAATAAAATAAAGAATAACCTAAGAAAGATCTAAGAGAAAACAAAAGCTATTCTTGGTGTAATTACATCTTTTCTATTTTCGTTTCCTTTTTTCGATTTTGGTTTTAGGTTGTACCTGGCAGTGCTCAGGGATTCCTCCTAGCTTTGTGCCCCAGAACCACTCCTGATTTGTGTGTGTGTGTGTGTGTGTGGGGGGGGGGGGGGGGGGGGCAACACATGACACAGGACGGACACGACACACACCCTAGAGGGCTAGAGGGTGTTCAGGGTACAGAACCTAGGTCAGTCTGGTGACAGGTGAGCATACACCCACTCACTATACTTCTCTCCGGCTCCTCTTTTGTATTTTCCAAGTATATAAAAGAAACGTGTTTTTTTTCCCCCCTTCTTTTTTCCCTTTCTTTTTCTTTTCTTTTTGGAGCTGGTCACAACATGAACTATTCAGATTTCTCCTGAGGCACTGCTCAGAGACTTTGTTTGGGTGGGGGAGGAGGGATCACGTGGTCCAAGCGGAACCCTACCAACCCTTTCCATTCTCTCTGGCCACAGCTCAGAAAGTTGTTTTGTTTTGGGTTCACAAACAAAGAGAAGGAAGAATAAGAAGGAAAAAAGTCTCAGAAAAGGGCTAGGAAAATGTCTAAAGAAGACTGAGTGCCTGCTTTCCAGGCGAGAGTCCTGGGTTCAAGCCCTGCACCCAGGTATGACCAGCCAGAAACAGGGAAAAAAATTTAGTTTGCCCAGTGACTTTTAGGAAAAAAGGTGCTGAGAACAAAATTAAGCCACAAGAAGAAATTAATCTTAACGATTCTATTATAAAGGTGGACATTCAGATAGTCAAGTTTCCATGTATGTGTAACTGAAGAGGATCCAAACTAATCACTGGCTCATTTAAGAGTATTTTCAGAGACACATGAAAGACATGACCATATAGGTGCATTTACCTGAATGTTAACAATGGTTCCAAATTTGCTGAAGTGCTCGTTGAGCTTCGTAATGTTGTTCAATTCCTGAGGGATTTTCTTGACTTCTAATTTGGTGTTTGTGTACTGATTCTTTCTCAAGAATCCTGGTTTGCTCTGATTGTTATTCCCTTGCCTGAAAGAAATATTCCACATAGCTGGTTAATGCTCCCACCTTTGACCTCGCCAAGACACACATCAATAGAGCGTACAATGGGTAAGGTGCTTGCCTTGCATGCGGCCGGGCCTGGTTTGATCCCCAGGACCACCCAAGGTCCCTCAGAGACCCAGTAGGAGTGATCCCTGAGCAGAGAACAAGGAGTGAACCCTGAACACCACCAGGTTAAGAGTACAAGTTTATGTCAGGGAAGTGCATATCGGAACTACAGTACATTTTATTATCATCACCTGAGAGCAATAAAACTGGCCTATCGCAAAAAGACTTGGAAACACGTGGAGCACACAGAACCCTGATACAGTTACAGGAATGTAACTGGGATGACTCCTATGAACAAAGGGACGGAGAGTCCATGAAACAGTGGACACTTCGTATGACCCAGAGGTATTACTCTTAGGCATTTATTCCAAGGGTATTAACCACTAATTTGAAAGTATATTTGGACTCCTATGTTGACAGCACCTTAATGAAACATAAAATTATGTTACCTAAATGGAATCTGAGGTGATCACAGAGTCAAAGAAATTCTGCCACTGTAGTCAAAACACAAAATGTCACCCTGCCTGTCAACAGATGATGGGATATAGAAGCTGGAGATATTCAATCGGATACCAGCCCAGGCTTAAAAATAAAAGATGGGGGGCCAGAGAGAGACAGTTCATAGGGTAGAGCATGTGGCTTGCATGCGGTAAACTGGGTTCAATCCCCTGCATCCCATCTGTCACTGTCACTGACCTCCCGTTGTTCATCTAATTCCTCGAGCGGGCACTAGTAACGTCTCCACTGTGAGATTTGTTACTGTTTTTTGGCATATCGAATACATCACGGGGAGCTTGCCAGGCTTTGCTGTGTGGGTGAGATACTCTCAGTAGTTGCCGGGCTCTCCGAGAGGGGCACAGGAATTGAAACTGGGTCAGCGTGTGCAAGGCAAACGCCCTAGCCGCTGTGCTATCGCTCCAGTCCTGCGTCCCATATGGTCCCCCAAACAGGAGTAACTCCTGAGTGCAGAGCCAGGAGTAAACCCCTGAGCATTGCCAGGTATGGCAACCAAAACAGAAAAACAAAATATAATGAAAACAAATTTTTTAAAAAGAGACCAAGTTGAGACTATGCTAAACTATGTGATAAAAAGACCAACTATAATTATCAAGAAATCTTAACATTAAGGTAAAGATGAAACATTTATTTATGCTTTATGTTTCAACCTCTGCAAAAGTAGAGAACTTTTTCTTTTCTATTCATTTCTAGGGAATAATTCTTGGACCCAGGAAATAGTAAAAGGGCTGGAATTCATACACTGCATATGGGGTCCCTGGGTTTGATCCCTGGCCATCCTGCAAGTACCTCCGGTAGCACTCCCCTTAGTACTGAGATGGAAGTAACACCCAAACACCGCAGGATGTAGCCCCGAACACATCAAAGTAGAACTAGAGAGAAAGGTCGATGAGCTAGAACAAACGCTTTGTGTGTAGGATGCACCAGCACCTGATATAGTACCCTGACTGCTGCCAGGGGTAACCCCTGCACAACACTCAAGTACAGTCCCTGAACACTCATAGCCCCCAAACAAAACAAATAATAAGGCATTAATATACAATCAGGCCTAACAAATAATAAGGCATTAATATACAATCAGGCCTAACAAATAATAAGGCATTAATATACAATCAGTAAGGACAAATTACTCCATCTGCTATGAAAACTGTCAGTTTTCCTGTATTTTTTTTTCCATCTTGTTTTGTTGGATCACAATCACCTCTGGTCAGGGTGTACCCCAACAGTTGCTAAGGATCACTCCCATGGTCTCTCCCGGGCGAAGCATGCACACAGCCCTCTGAGCAATTTCTCCATGCCAAGCTATTCACATTTTAAGCACTCTAGTGTTTGTTGCCTTAGTATTCTAAATTTGAGGCACACAGTTTGAAAATCGGCAACATAACCCTGACTTCAGTAACTTTACTAATGCAAACAAAAGAATAAGGAAACACCAATTAGAAGTTACTCATCAGCAAAAAAATCTTACTTTCCCAGCCAAGGTTTCTTTGAGAGTGGCCCCTCCAAACCACTCAG